ACATAGCTCTAGGAAAATAACATTGTTCACTAATGTTTTCTTGGAAGAAGAGATTTTAATTCTTTGCCAACAAAAGGGTAGCAACAGTAAACTTATATGAGAAATATCTATTTTGAAAGGTTACAAAACTCTCTGGAGCCCAGTTACACCTTTAAATTAAAATAAATAAATAAAACAAAACCGTGTTGGACCTTGACAAGAACCAAACCCAAAATCTACATTTCTTCAGTACCTTATTATGACTGACCAAAATGACAGAAATGTGTATGAGCTTTTGAGTTGTCCAGAATTCTACGCCACATTCTTGAGTTAATACAAAAATATAGGGATAGGAAAAGAAACAAAAGAAAAGAAAAAAAGGCGAGAGATGTTGGGATCAAGAGGACTACAGTTATGTTCATCCTCAAGAAATAGACTTTTATTGAATGAATTATTGACTGCTGTACTGCAGCCAAGACTGTGCTCACAACCCGGGGTTCAATCCCAGGTAGCCAGCTCAAGATTGGCTCAGCCTTCTGTCCTTCTTAGGTCAGTAAAATGAGTACCCAGCTTGCTGGGGGGAGGGCAATGTGTAGCCTGCATAATTAACTTGGAAACAACCCAGAGAGTGCTTTAAGCCCTATGGGGCTGTATATAAGCAGCACACTTTGCTTTTTTGCCTTTTTTTATTAGTGTTTGTTTCTGAAACCACAGTGTCTCATTGTGAGGTGGTTCTCATGACAGCCTCTGGTGGACCATCTGTCCTCACGTTGTGCTCTCCAGAAGGCCTGGTGGTGGCCACAGTTCTCAGATCCAAAAAGGGCATAGACCTTGGAGGTTAAGTGACAGGTGGAGGTAAGGAGGAGAGAAGTGAGACCGGAAACCTAGGTAAGGAGGCAGAGATCAGGTCCCAGGAAAGCTAGTTGTGGATAAAGGTAGAGGAAGGGGAAGAGGAGGGAGACTGATTGCACTTAGCCAGCAAGGAGTGGGGTGAAGACAAGGATGAGCTGGATCCAGTCCTCTGTGCCACTGGGGATGTGGAATATACATATGTTCAGGATCCTTGGACATGGTCATGGGAACAGATGCAAGTAGCTAAGGGAGAGGTTGTGGGGGAGGCACCTCCACTTGCCACTGTCGCTGTCCCCATCCCCATGAAGACCTTGGGAATCAGTAGGATGCCCAACCCCCACTACAATACAGATAAGGAGCTGGATGCACAAGCACCAGAGAAAGCATAAACAGCTGTTGGTACCTGACAGAAGTGGAGTGACTCAGGGCTGTCTTGAAATCCCAATATCCAACATGGACTGAGACACACAGAGACACAGACACACACACATCATGATCCCTGTGCCAGAAACTACAGGTGGGGAAGGGTTAGCTAAGGTTACTGTAAGTCAGTTCAGATTTAATGGCACATAACACACATGAGTTGGACATAGGTATAAGTACTTCATTCAGTTCTAGCCATTTTATTTCCCCTCACCACCACCAACCAGACTCCAGAAGGTTCAAATGCTTATGTGATCTCGGCCAAGAAAGACTATGTGCAAAATGGTATCTGTAATTTTGAGAAACCAGACAATCTGGCAGCAAAATAAATGCATATTTACTCAGACAAACTTCCCAAACTCTCTGGGTGCTTCTTGCATGATCGAGACCAATATCTATATCACTGGCTCTTAACCTTGAGTTATTTAGGAGTTTTGGACTGCAACTCCCAGAAGCCTTCACCACCAGCTGTGCTGACTGGGGTTTCTGGGAGTTGCAGTTCAAAAGCATCCGAGTAACAAAGGTTAAGAACCACTGGTCTACATGACAGTCTTTTCATAGCCTTTTCATGGTTTTTATGAAAATACTGACAGTGTTATAGCCATTCAGACAAGATCACCATGGCCTCAACAAAACACTCACTGAATTCTAGGGTTCATTGCTGAAATTGTGGGAAATTTGAAAAGTATGAGCTCTTTCACAATAGACAAATAAGATTTATAAACATAGAACTCAAGCATAATGTGATGCTATCCAATGTACATTTCAGTTCACAGAGCACAATACTGTAAATAAAGGTCAATTCAAGCAGAAAGTTGTCCAGATCACATGACCAAAGAGACCATTGCATCAGTCTAATAAAACACGTCATTATCTGAATGGACAATTACATATAATTGACAAATCTGAAGAAGATTATTTTTACACTTGCAAATTTAGGTTCATATGATGTTTGGAACCTTTCCCCAGGCAAACAATCTCTTTGTGGCTGATTAAGGTATCTCATTAAGTCTTTCCCTTTCATGTTCTTGTGCTTTGTTTACATATTGACAAAATGACTCACACTAATTTGCATAATAAGACACTGTAGGCAGCCATATTGCACAGACAAAAAGGCTACACATTTTAAATAGGTTCCATTCACATGATGTTTTCATTATTGTTATTATCATCTTTATGATCCTTTCCATTTTTCTTTCCCAAGCGTCCTATTCAAAAATTATATAAATTGTATTAATTTTGTGGATTAAAAAAAAACCTCAGAGGACCACTAAAAAAAAGGATTAAAAGTAGTAATATACCCAAGAGTACAGAAATCTTCAACTCACGCTATGGATACATTTTTAACCACATTATTCTCTCTTGGTATCCTTAATATTTTTACTTTCCATGGTTCAAAACTGCTGAGTTATAAAATCTGCCATCTCTGAGCCAGATCAGGCCTTCTACATTCTACTGCTCTGCTTTCTAATACAATTCTTGATTTTATTCAGTCCTGATTGTGAGTAATTTCCATCCATGTGCATGTTGCACCACTTACACTGAGCCGTGCAGTCAAGGCTTCCACAGAAAGTGCTAAAAATAATCTTTCCCATTGTTTGTAGTAGGTTTATTGCCTGAATGACTGTGCACAGTTCCTAGAAAGAGCAGTGCCAATGAGAGAAAAAGTGATGTCTCTACATTTGTGTATAAAAATTATTAAGGTGTGCCTTTCTGCAAATCCATGAGACACTGCCACGTTGCACAGATGAATAAGAATTTGTGTGTGTGCATAGAAATGCATGCAAATTTCTATGTACAGAGGTTTCTATGCATGTTCTCCAGTGTCACCTACTGACAGTAATTTACATTTGGCTTTCAAGTGAAAGATACTTTCCTCACAAATTCAGAACCTACACTTAAAAAGCATCTCTATAAACCACTAGAAAAGTCCTTTGGGAGCTGAGAGCTATATTTGTCAATGAATGATAAAAGAAAAACTAGAAAAGTATTCCTGATGCTCCTAATATTGGCCACATATTCATGGAAGATATCAGTATCAGTGGTACCCAGTAGGGATGGGATTTGGGGTTAAAACGAATGCGAAGAAATATGAAAGTGGCTCTTGTTTTCATTTTCATATCTGTCATTATTTCCCAAAAGAGAGCCTCTTAAGCCCTAGTGTTTTGTTTTAACAAAAGGGAGGAACACAAAAGGTTCTGTTTATCTCAATATTTGTCTCTTTCATTTGTTCTTTCCTTCACCTCTTGATTGTCAGATCTCTTGGAAAATGTTTCACCATCTTTCCTATTTAGTTTAAACCTGTGACAGACAGGTCAGTAACCACTCCTGTCCATCACAATGGAACCCTGATTTAGCAAACAATGGTTGAACAGAAGGGGCGGAACCAAGGAAATATAAGAAGAGAATGGAAGGCAGTTAAAGGCTATCAGTTAGAGAGTTAACATTTCAGTTGGTCAGGAGTTAGAGAAATAGATAGTCAAAGTTGGAAGTGAGAATAGTAACAAGCAAATACACAAGTTAGTTAAATGGCCAATAAGTAAACAAAAGACTACATTTCAATGATTGTAATTCTGAGTAAATAAATAAAGAACATCTGTAACTTTAATAAAAACATTCAGTGGTCGGCAGCTAGTGTCTGAGTGAAATAATTTACATTGTGGATAAAAGAAATCCACTGGTGGCAGCGAAAAAGAGGGGAAATTAGATGTCATGCCTGAAAGGGAACCTGAGTGTGTTGAAGAACAAACAGGGGAACTGGGGGTGTTTGACAATACCTTTGTTCTCTCTCTTTGTCTCTGTGAGGAGGACAGGGACACAGGACAGGTGCCCCAACTAAGGGGCCACACATCCCACCCAGTTGTCCAAGGAGGACCCCAAGGAAGAGGCTTGGGAGGATATCCAACATGAACGGCAGAGGATTCCCCAGATGAAGAGGAAGAACCTCCAGGAGAGTAGGATTAGATTTATAAGGAACATCCCTGGTGGGTGAACATAGTGAAACTGCAAATTCCCAAGGGAGGGGGGAACATGAGATCCCAAAGCCCCTTACTGCTCAACTTATTCTGGGGAGCATGACTGAAAGGCCACTAGGAAGGCGGAAGAACCAACAAATTTACAAACTTGACACTGGTAGAAGAAGTGGCAGCAGGACATCAGTATAGGAAGAAGTTGGAGAAAGCAACCTTGGGGATCCAAAACCAACACTGTGACCAGAATGGAAGTTCTTTCCTCAACTGCCCTCATTGAAGGCATATTGACCGTCATTGTTAGGAGGAATACAGAGGCCCAAATGTTGCAGACACGAGACTTTACCAACTCTGGGGCCAAGGAGCCCAGTGGAGATAATTGGGCTTTCCAACCCCACTTTATTTTCTTAGCTGAACCAGAGGACAAGAGTTTTTTGCAAAGAGACTCTGAGCTAGTGGCATCATCTTAGCCCAAAGAAAAGAGACTGAACTCAGAATCACTAATTGTTAGTGCCTTCCCAAGTTCAATGAACCCTGCTGTGTTTCCAACTACCAGTCTACAGTTTATGGATGTATGAATGGAAGAGGGGTGCCTCACTTATCCAGTTGGGACTGGAGGGGCTCACAGCCTCAGTTTAAAATAAATATTTAGCTGCTGAGTAGTACCTACAAACCATTCAACATAGGCTGTAGCGGCACTGTATAAGAAACAGAAAAAGTATTAGAAGGCATCCTAAGCGCAGCGTAATTTGACTTTATCAGCTGACAGGAACTTACAGACAGTAGTATTTGGATGGCACTGTGAATGACCTCCAGGTATTGGAAGTCAATGATGCAGCCTGTCACAGAGACATAAGAAAAATCATCTAGGATCCCAGGAGCTGAAGGACGCACCACTCTTCGTATGCAACCTGGTCCATGTTCTCGCCACCAAGATCGATGCATTGAGATGTTAAAGGTCATGAGATCTGTTTCCTAGTAAACAGAGAGAAAATCAGTATGACATATTTTTCTTACAATCCAACTCCCATTTAAAGAAATATAATTTACTATAAGAAAAATCCTAGGAATATGTGTAGAGATGGTCCGTCAGCGCATTCCCTTCGTGCTGCACATTCCCTTCCCCCAAGCCACCCTCACTGCCTCCCCATTCACAAGCTGGCGTGTGCTGCTCTTTCCCTCCTCTTCATGCAAGTGTCACTATTGCAGCAGGAACATGGACTTCCCTCCTCTGCCTCCTCCAGGAGCTGCCCACTTGAAGGAAGCACTGTAGGAATCCCTGCCCTGCCTCCTTGGGACAGGGACAGGGTCTGGGAGGTGTGATTTCAGGAATAGAGAATTCTGGATGTTGGAGTCCAAAAGCACAAGGACAGGATTCTGGATTTTTTGGAGTTCAATAACAAGCAAAAAACTAGAAATGTTTTTTTTTTTGCTTGTTATTAACAAAGTTAGCATTAACAAAGGTTTATTTAAACAGCAGTTTGGGACTCTGACTTCAGATTAATTGTAGCTAGCCTTTATCTCAATGCAGTCATATCATCATGCTACAGTTAATGGTGAAAAATGAGGGAAGGGGGCATAAAAGCCTAGAGAACGGGAACTGAGAGAACAGCAAAGATTGCATGTGCATGTAAGGTTAGTTACTCTACAAAAGTAACTGGCCTTACATGTGAACTGAAAAAATGACCTCCTAAAGCCCCTTCCCCTTTTACTTAGGATTCTCCATACATATGGAACAATGTTCTCTTACATACGTATATACTCATCTTATTTTCCAGAGATCTTTTTTCAAACCAATTTGTTCCCCATCCTCTTCATGCTCCTTTCTCCTTTATTTTCCCCCCAGCTGTGATTATACATACAATGTCTTGCATATTTGTACACTCTTCCTCTCTATTTTCTCCCCATTTTGAAATGGTATGATGGGGTTATTTTTACATTTTTTTTTCGTAGGGAGCACAGGGTATGTTGTAGGCGTTATACAAATGATATAATAAAATGATAATTATGATGATCAGTTGGAGTAAAGCCTACAAAGAGAAAGAACCCTTCTGTAGCAAAATGTGCAGATGAGATGGCTTCATTACAATGATAGATTGACTCATTAGACTCTCATCACTTAATAGTGCACTATAGTGCCATTAACACAGTAACATGCCTTTCTTGTCACCTAGTATCATAAAGAGTGAGAAGCTGCATATCAAACTACTTTTCACAATTCCCTCTAGTAACTAGTAAAGACAGCTGTACTGAATGACAGTCTCTATAAGAAATAAAATAAATGCCACCACTGTGTAGCCCATGATGGTGAACTCACCCTCCTGCATTAGGAAAAATAAATCTGCAGGGATGGCAAATATTTTATTTCTTTCAGCAACTATAGTTCCTCATTGCTGTCTTTATTGTATGCAAGTCCTTTTGGGAGCAAAAAAATAAAAGCAGGATAAGATGTGATATTATATACTGATATGTTGTTTCCAAACAAGTGCTGTAGTGCAGTGATCTCCAACCTTGGGCCTCCAGATGTTCTTGGGCTTCAGCTCCCAGAAATCCTGACCAGCAGAGGTGGTGGTGAAGGCTTCTGGGAGTTGTAGTCCAAGAACTTCTGGAGGCTCAAGGTTGGGGATCACAGCTGTAGTGGCCATAAAAATGGTTAGAAAGTATACTGGCCAAAACTACTTTGTTCTACAATAAGGTAGAATCTGCCAGCTCCTGCTTGCATATGTCATTAATGCTTTGGGTCAACTTTCATCCATCCAGGTGTTTTGGATGTCCGTTCTCAATCCTTTGGTCCATGCAGGTTAAGGCTTATGGGAACTGAAGTCCAAATAATGCAGAAGGCCAAAGCTTTCCACCACTGCAATAAAATATCAGTTATTAACTGATATTATGATGACAAATATTAATGAACAAATCTTTTGAATTAAGATAAGAATGGTTTCTCATGTCTCAGTGCTACTTTTTGATAATGTATCAAAATTCATATTATATGTACTTCCACCTCTTTATTCCACACCTCTGCCACAATGATAGGATTCCAGCTGAATGGATTTGATCATATGCAGACTAGCTGCATATTAGCTAGCACAAAAGGAAGTGGAACAGAGCACTGTGAGACAGGTGGCGAGAGTGGCAACCCTCTCACCAGAGTGCCATCCCTCCTTCACACGGTTGAGAGAGAGATACAGACTCTACTATCTCTACCTCCTAGGAGGACAGAGCAATGGGGGACAGACACCCGGGAATTGGAAGAAGAGATTCAGGGGTTAATGGTCAAGGGAACGGAGGAGGAATTGGCGTGAAGAGAAAGGAGTAACAGGGTGGAGATAGAGGCAGGGACAGCGGAGATAAAAAGGAAGGAGATGCCTCCAGGCTGGGAATGGGTCTGGATGGAGGATCCATGGACTGGAGTTTGGTAAAGACTGAGGGTACCAAAGGAGGAGGCAGATTACAGAAGAAGAAGAGACATTCCCCCCCAAGACCCTAGTATTGGGGTGAAGCTGAAGCCAAGGAGTGGCAGAGAAGATTGAGAGAGGAAAAGGAGAGATTGGAAAGAGAAAGAAGGGAGAGATTAGAATGGAGAGTGAAAGAGATGAGGAGGGGGGAATGCAGGGAGGACCCTGGGCGACACCCACATTGACCGAACATACCAGGTGGAGTGAGGTCCGGGATGACGAGACCTTTTCCCTACTGGAAGGAGAGACCGGACAGATGGTGAAGCCGGACGTGGCTACAGACTGGCTGGGCCCATGAAACATGGCAGAAGGAAACCCGTTCTTAAATGATGGATGGAAACCCCTGGCTGACCCACTGTCGACAGGAGAGAAGTTATGGGACAATTTTGTGGACACTAGTTATCTGCTAAATACCTCAATAAACCTCACACCTGTTTCAAAGTTGAAGAAATATCACATTTTATTTGGGAAGAGAAGAGAACCAAAAGACAAACCTTCACAAGCACATACAACAATATCTTGGTATATGGTCACATGATATCATACAGTGCTAGTTTCTACAGAACCACAGGTACACAAAATGAGATTGTGGTAAAGGGAAACCTTGTTGGACAAAGGAAACAACAGTCAATGTTAACAATGAAACAGAGAAAGCAGGGATGAGGAAGAGGAGTTTTCCCCCCACAAGCTTCCCTGTTCCCCCAGTGATCAGATGTAATCATCATTGTGGTTCTGGGGAAATGGCCAAAATTCTAGCAGTTATGTCCACTGGAATAATAATAGCAGCATAATGTCAGCAGTGAATTACTGCAAGTAAAGAAGTTGGTGTAGGTTTTTCTTACCACACATAAATTTTTTGACTAGAAATACACTCTGACTTCTTATCTGGTGGCAGTTTGCCAAATAAAATTACACCGGTGGTGTTACACTAGCAAGACTATACAACAGGATTGCCCTAGTACTTCCGGAGGAAAAAAGATTTTGAAGGAAAAACATCTCAATAAAAAATGTAGGCAAGGCCTTCACATATACTCCCGGGATGACAGATGAGGGTTTTTTTTAAAACAAGATGAAAATATCATTTGCTTATAATAAGGAATTCCACAACCTTTTTGCAGCTTTTGCCCAGTTTCTTCAATAGAGTTCCTGGCTTTGCTGGGCAGAAAATTACCGTAACAACCACTTCTAGTTCCTCTTTCTGGAAGGGCCAGGCAACTCTAGATCAGCTTCACAGAAATCATCTGGAGGACTAATTGGTCTCATTGATTTTCCCTCTCTGGGAGTTGTTAAATCCCTTGAACAATGCTTGGTGGCAAAACAAACTTCCTTTGTGTGTGCCTCAACACTTAAGAGTAGACCTGGGGACAAATATAAAAATGAATCAGGATATTTGTTAAACATTCTTGATTCATCAGATATTCATTGCTTCATATTCTTTGGATCCAGAGACTCCCAATGAATATAAAGCAATAAATATAAAATGTCCCTTCATTCCCTATCTGCTTATGTCCCTGTGGATCAGCTGTTCCTTGGGGCATAAGCAGAGAGGGGTTTTCCCTTTGGGTGGTTTACTAAAGCCTGCCTGAAGGGAATCCCACCCCTGGGGGCTTGGGGATGGCTTGGTTCCCCTTTCCTCTTCTTCCTAAGCCTGCGGGGCATAAGAAGAGGAGGGAAGGGATCAAAGAAGGACCAAAGGGATCTCCCAGCCACTGTGAGATCACTTTGATCCCTCCTTTGCCTTCTCCTGTTAAGACCCAGGGGGGGGAGAAAAGGGATCAAAGCAATCCTGCAGCTGCTTGATTCGTTGTTGTCAAACTTTTCCTTTCCCTTTTGGCGCTTTGTCCCCATCTTTAGTTAAGAGCCAACAACAGTGTATTTCTCCTGAAAGATGGTTGTGATTTGTTTCTGACATCTCCAAACTATAGGCTATAATACTTTGCAAATTCATGTTACAGTAGAACCCCCCTATCATGCGGTCAGTATCTGTGGATTCACTTATCTGCTGCATGAACATATTATTTTTTTAAAAAGATTCACTTATCTGCTGCCTGAACATATTATTTAAAAAACAACAACAAAGAAATAGGTATTTGTATGTATTTCCATGGTGTATTTACCAGACGTGGCTACTAGAGGAAGCCAGAGACCATGCTATGTATGCATTTTTCAAGCATCTTCGGCAGGGTTTGGAACCAATCTCCACTGGATGTCACAGTCCTACTGCATTTTAAAAACAAATTTTATGATGCAGGTTTTTTTCCTGCTTGGTTCTAATTCCCATTGGTTGGCTTTGCTTTCCACAGGCCATTCTGATCTACAAAATAAATAAATATCTTTCTCTGTAAGTGTGCACGCCTAGAATATAAAACTTATTAAAAATCTAGATGCTACCAATCCACTTCTGAAGAATACAGACAAATGGTGTCTTGCAACATGACCTACCCTGAAGGACTGGAACTCCAGAGCTACCAGTTTATCACAATTATGTTTAACATCAATGGCTCTGACAGCTTATAAAAT